AGCTGAACACTTCTCATATTCGCTATGTGAACACTCATCTAGAATCGATGGCAGCAACGCAGTCAAGAATGGATTCCGTGTAATAATTTCCACATCATACTGAAACAAATTAACGACAATTAGACTGATGAATCTTCTGTTCTTCAGATTAGGAACTGTGCTAATTCACATACCCAAAAAATAAGTTGAAGACGATGGCAAGATAAAAGCAACGCCGGAAAATATGATGGATTGAATTGCGTTTCCGAAACATACATGACGGAGAAAAAAACAACGTCTGGATCTTATTTGAGGTTACGAGAGATTTACAACGAGAAAGATTTTTTGAAGCAAATGTTAGACAGAAGTTCCAAATGTAACCAACATTTCTGAGATTCGAAAGTTGGCTTGTTAGTCGTTCAGAAGAGAGGAGAATCCGATTCGCGGTGCTCTTTGACGGCATCGAACGCAATAAACATAATGCCGTATCAACACTACAAATAACATTTGTCGAAACATGATCATTTCATTTAAGAAACACTGTCGATTATATCCTTACGAAATCAACTTGCAATGATAACAATAATAGCAATAACAGAGATGACAATGACAACAACAATATAACGGCATCACCAACCAATTTTCACGCAAATTATCTTCGTCCAATTTCCTATCAATATAATCAACAATAAAATCTTCCGCAATAACAGTCGAACATATCGCTCCAACAACTTTTTCAATTTCTTCTAAAAATAATTCCTTACCATTGATGTCAAATGAATAAATGAATATGCAAATAAACCAATCAAAACGAAATCGAAACTGAAAATGTGAAACTAAAAATATCAAAATTCACCATCAGAAACATTTGACGATTCGAAGATGTTCTCCAACGCTTTTGTTGCAACCTTCGTGCGGCACTCATCACCGATCTTGAATAAAACATTTCAACGTTTAGCAACGATATCTTTTCTAGGCATGAATAACACAAAACGAGGATCACGTTACAGATCGGATCAAATAAATTCAAAACTGCAATCTGGAATTACCATTGTTTTGCTGCATGTGTTCATAAGATCAACGAACGGTTCCACGCTTTGCGCAACTTCGTTTTCAACGATCTACAATAATATTAATTCGATCATCATCAACAATGCCTTACAAGTCTACAAGCCTTCTCAAAAAGAAAAAACCAAAAATTATTGTCAACTCAAACAAATACCAAATTTCTGAAGAACTATAAAATATTGACAAATCATCGATCGACCATTACACATGGGTATAAATACAAAATGTGTGATGAAGTCAGTTACTACCACCAAAATGATGAAAAAGCAACAAACCCGTGAAATAACATCCTCACGATTCGTCATTCTCACAACAGCATTCACCACCAATTGCCACCTATTGCATTCATACGATTGTAGATTTTTCGAAATCGCCTTATCAATCATTTTCTCCCAAACAGTCGAAGAGGTCAGCTGAGATAACCACGAATCCACACCATAATCTTCAATATTCGCCGATATTGATTCAACTAAACACGCGCAACACATCTCATCATCCAACTGAAATTTCGTTTATGTGATCAGTTTTCAGCATTCAAAAGACAAAAGCCATTTTTACAGCTTGAAAATAATTCATCCAAAGAAGAGCGAAACACTTTTTGTATGTCATCAACGAAATTGATCGTAAGATGCAATTTTAACACAAGAATACAAAAACTTCATTTAATTTATGAATTTCCACCGGAATTTCTGAAAACGCGTTAATTTTAGTTCATTATTAGAGAATTTGTTTCACATTTATCAATGAATACCATAGGTTAATATTTCGGATCACTTGTCTACGATAGAAGACAGCTTCGCATGAGAATTCGTCTTGTCATATCAAAATTACCTTCAAGAAATCCTCAAAATGTGTTTGGGTAGCATTGACTGCCTTCAGAAGAGCTTTGGCAGTGGTTGTCGATTGGCTTGTTTGCCAAACAATTTTATCGGCTATTGTTTTCGCTAATGGCATAGATTCATTGATCTGAATCAGTTGTGTGTCATCATACAGACCAATGATATGCGCAACGAGTGCGTCACTGCTTGACGGACTTCTCAGAATCATTTCCGCGAAATCCATTAATGTGTTGTCACGGTGTGACGATGATGATAAATTGAATAACTCTTCGATTATTATTTCAGATGACGGTAACTGAAAGACAAATCAGCTTTAAATAACAGAAGTACACACTTTTAGTGACCTCGACTGGCAGTCTAATCGACAACAACAACAAAACGAATTACCAAAAACGTCCAAAAATAAATAACACGAAAAGGATGATATCAGTGTGAAAAGTAAATCTGATCAGTACAAACTTTCGAAAACCAAATCAAACAACTGAAGTTAACTCACGCGACTGAACAATGTCATAAAGATATAACTACGACACTGCTGCATCATCTTCGATGCTATGAGAGTCTCATCAGCATTCAGAATCAAAAATGGTAATGTGGCGATCGTCCGCATCGTCAATTTATCGTCGAATTTAACTGACCAATCCAACGCTTTTTGAACCTTCAAAACGAGATTGTCACAGCTCAAAGCTTTGTCAAAATCAGAAATCATCAAATTTTGTCAAATACAAAATCACAATCATCACATCTCAAAGCTCCCAAAGTTTTTAAAGAGATACAAAGAACAGTTTAATATCAAAGAATAGCTTGAAAGACAAATAATCTGAACGAAAATTGATTTTCAAAAACCTCGGAGCAAATATATTCGACGAATTCTTCACATCCGGCATTGTCACCGTCATTCTCTAGATCCAACAGCGCCAAGTTGATCGTTTTGATAAGTGCTGCTGCCCAATCGTTTGTACCGAATGACGAATCGGGAGGCAGACTAGAATGCAAACAAAAGTTTCCATGAAGCAAAATGATCAAAAATAACAAT